CTGACCCTTAGGCACCCTAGAGGGTGAGGAGCTAGGCAGAGTTCCCTGGAAAACAGGCAGTTCTTGTTTGGGAAACAGCATAATCTTGACAAAGCAAACATGAACCCTGGTCCTGAACCATCTTCACAGATAGTGGTTCTTAATGGCCAGCTTGGGTGGGCCAGCAGGTGGCATAATGGTTAAGGCCCTGGACTCCCACATGGCTGCAGTTGGAGTCTTGCGTACTGCGGCTTGAAACTCATGCCGTACATGCCCCAAATTCCAGGAGAATGGAGTAGCATGGAGGAGTAGGGATTGGAGCTTGGCCATCCCCTGGGGGATGATTTCTTGCTTTCTCTCTTCATTCCCCCAGCGTTTGTACCCTAAGACAAAAACCTTAAAAAGCCAGTTTGGTGATGGTGTTTAAGGTAACTGAATCCTACATGGCCCACTGCTGATTTGGAGTCCTGGACCAGTGGTTTGAAAGACATACAGGCACCTATGTATGTGTCTAAGATCTCAAGAGCAGAGAAGAGGGGATTTCAATGTGGCCACCCCCAGGGTATGACTTCTCACTTCCTCTCTCTCTCTCTGGCGAAACTAAAAAAGGCCAGCTGATGTAAAGGTGATCTGGCAGAAAGGTGTGAGAAGGCAGAGCCATCAGCGTAGTGTTGGGAACTGGCTTGCTTTGATTCTGTTAAATATTCATCCAGTTATTTGGCAGCTCTAGAACAGACACTGGGGACTTTCTAGGAACAAGGGTTCAACAAAGGTATGAGGTACAGCTCCTATGCTTAGGTAAAGATGAATGTGCAGGACCAGTAGGTAGTTTGGTGGTTAAGGTGTTGGGTCTCACATGATCAACTCTGTGGTTCGACTCCTGGAACTAGTGGCTTGAAAAACACACCAACCACATGTGCGCGTGTGTTGAAAATTCTTTTTTTTTTCTTTGAGAGGTTTTTGCTATTGGGCGCATGCGCTTGCCAGAAAGACAGAGAGAAACAGAGAGAGAAAGCGAGAAATCACCCCCCAGGGGGGATGGCCACGCCACAATCCCTTCTCCTCCATTCTCCTCTCGGGATTTTGGGCACGCATGCACATGCGCCCGGCGTGAGTTTAAGCCGCCGGGTCTGGGACTCGAACCGCGGTCAACTAGGTGGGAGTCCAGCGACATAGCCATTACATGAACTGTTGGTCCTGTGTGTCGAAAATTCTGAGAGGAGACAGGATTGTGGCATGGCCATTCCCTTGGGGGGTAATTTCTCACTTTCCTCTCTCTCTCTCTTTCTCTGGCAAGTGCACGTGCCCAATGTCAGAAATCTTAAAGAAAAAAGAAGAAAGAAAAAAAAGATGAGCATGCAAGTATTGTGGCATTCACAAAATGCTTCATGGAAGACCAGTTATGAGAGCAAATTAGATGAGTTCTAAAGTGAGATCGTTAGTCATATAGGGGTCAGTTTGCATAGTGTTTAGGAGGTATGAGCTCTAGAGTTAGATTTGTTTGGGTTCACATCCCCTCTTCCCCACTTAATGGCACTGAAATTTTCATGCATATTACTTTTCATGCCTCTCTTCTGTGTTTAAATGGGGGTCCACTTAATGGCACTGAAATTTTCATGCATATTTTCGTGCCTCTCTTCTGTGTTTAAATGGGGGTAAAATAGAAGCTACCTTGGAGGATTGCCATGAACAGTAAATTAGTAAATATATGCATTTTAGAAAAGTCTCTGGCTGGCCAGTAGGTAGTGTGGTGGTTAAGATGCTGAAGTCCCAGACCTGGCTGGCCAGTAGGTAGTGTGGTGGTTAAGTTGCTGGAGTCCCAGATAGTCAACTGTGGTCCAAGTCCTAGACCTGGCATCTTGCTTTCTCTCTCTCTGGTGTATACATGTGCTTTATATAGCAAATTAAAAATAATAATAACAATACATAAAATTAAATTATAAAAGTCTTTGGCATGCATGTGGGTACTTCAAAAAATTCATGGAAAATTGGAATTAAGGTATGAGTTTATTTTGGTACAAACAATCTTTAAACCCATGCTTATTTTTTTTTCATCATGTGCATTTTCCATGAATTTTTTGAGGATCCCCTCATACTATGAGGTGAGTAAATCTTAGCAGGTCTTGTTGGAGAGAATGTTGAGAGGACAGCTCTTAAAGTTGGGACTTGCCTAGACAGTATGTTCTAAGGTAGCCTGTGAGTCTTTTGGAGGTTGAGCGACCAAAGC